ATTATACTCACGTCTACTATAGTAGCAATCTCGTACTTTTCCTCGCTCCTTGTACTCCTCCATTCCTTAAACTTGGAGCGGGATACGCATCACTTGGTGATTGTCTCTTATTGTATTTGTCCCCGTCTGGTTGGAGGATTTCGTCCATCGTTTCTTTCAGGCACACATTCAGATATGCTTGCAACTGCGATGAGTGTGTAGCAATGATGTAGCGAATTAGTTCTGAGCTCCATGCGGTATTTGTCAGAGTCGTTCCCTCATTTTATAAAATACGCTAACAAAAACACGCCTGGCGCTGACACACTGCAGTGATGTAATTCCGTTTGCTTTACGCATACTGTAAATGAGTTATTTATACACGCATGTAATCACGCATATATAACCATATATGTGTGTATACACGTATATATTAACATACATTTATATACACATATGTATAAACATATGTTCATTTATATATATGCGTGTATACTTTATTTGGAATGCGTAGATGCCACATAAAGAAAGCTTGGTCCTACAGAAGACATAAACCCTCGCCTTACAGAGTAAATTTATGCAACTTATGGTCACTACATACAAAACAGCAACTGGTCTTCTAAACGCCAAGGAAACCGTATGGAATTGAAAAATATAAAGTATATGTGCACCCTGATAATATATACAACTCATATCCAAACAATTATAGGCACGGAAAAACACCAAACATCGTACAAGCGTCCTCACATGCCTGACTGAGTGTCGAATACGTAGTTTAATCCTCGAGTAAGCTCTGTATTCGATTGCCGCATCACCCAACTTGCCCACTCAAAAGATGTACATACACACGTACCTATTTACAAATAAACACGTATATACGTATACACACCATCCACATAGACATGCACACATACATAGACATGCACACACACTGAACATTGCACGAGTGTACCCGCATACCTGACTGAGTGTCGAATATGCAACTGAATCCTCAGATAAACTCTGTAATCGTATGCCAACCTCTCTGCGCATCCACTGACATGCTGCATTATCCAATTTATCGGGTCTACTAGTGCTTGTGGGCTGACTGTAAGTTTTCGATAATCGTAAAGTTGAGAACTTGGGTAGACAATCCATTATATGTACATTGTGTGACTATGTTTACCGATGTAAATAAAAGGGCTCCAGTCCATATGTATGTAAGAGTCGCTAATGGATGCATATTAGGTGTATTCCATGAGTCACGTTCTGGCATTGGTACAGTCTGGTACTTCGTACTCTTGAGTGTGTTCAGTGGGAGACTAATACGGTAGGTATGGTCATTAAGTTTGTGTATATCAGAATGAGAAAAGTCCTATGATAATACACATCTGATGAAGACCAATTGTTGCTTATCAGGCAATTTACATGCCCACACAAGAAAAGAAAAACACACACACACACACATACATACATACATACATACATACATACTAACATATATATATATATATATATACTTGTACATAAATACAGGATATATATATATATATATATATATATCACTTGCACATATTAAACTAGACCGGAGATTCAGAGAAACATCTCATATGAAGGAGCACAATACACAAGTGAATATTCCAAAAAATATTAAAATCTGACGAAGTCATATAAATGTATTCATTGTGTATACCCAAATATTGTAGACAAAAACAAATACTAGTCACATACGACGTTATTTGCTCAATGTAGTTCTGCATGATGTCGACTATAATGTTATTCATATTGTCGCTCGAATCCTGATCTCGGCCCTGCGAAAGTAAAGAAAACCCAAAATTGGGTTTAGATAAAGTAGCTACAAGTACGGATTGAGTTACAAGTACATACATTTGCTGAGTATAGTACTATTACTTATAGAATATTGTACTACGCTCTTATTCGCTAGCGACACCAAGCAGAGTTGAACGTGTATAATATCTTTTACACACAAACAACAGCATATTAATCTTTAACAAACCCATTTATAGCGCAGGAACAATATGTACATTACACAATCACAATTGCACTATGTACAGTTCGGTACAGTATAGGTCCTCCCATAAGTCTCACCACATCACCTCTAGCTGAACACCAAAAAGTAGGTCAAAAGTATCGTTGGTCGCATCGCTTGAATGAATAATAAATTTATCACCCTTTACAACATTGCTGTGGATATTATGAAAAAAACGATACATTATACATGCATATCTAATATATATTTGATAGATGACC